AATATGTCTACATTTTCTATAATTTCACATTTATTTAGAGTCCACATGAGATATTTGCACTGTATCACACTGTAGGACTGCACGAAAATATGATTAAATTGTGAACAACTAAGAAATGGTAACTAGTTAAAGCAGCATATCTTATTCCAGAACAATAACGTGACAATATAGACATAAATGTCTTCCATAGAAAAGAAGATGACTTCCATATTCACCGGAGCAAAAATGGGAAATGTTAATTTTTTTTTCATTAAAGTTATTGCGAAGAATCGGTAAGACAAGATTCATCTGTCCAGTAAAACGCCACGTAGCTACAATGTAACGTTATGTGTCGATTAGCTAATACATAATAATTGTTATATTTTTTCGTTCTTTTACAGACATGAGCATCACTGTCAGTTTCATACACTTTATACAAATCGAATGAAACAGACTATGGCAGTGATTGGTCATTCTAATGAATGAAGAAAAAATTAGATGGGAAAAGGGATAAAAGACGTGTAGCACAAACTTTTCAACCCCTATTAGCATTTCTTTCAGGAGCAACAACAACATATTATTCAACAGAAATAAACCGCGAACTGACTCTGTGATACAGACTATGCATATGTTTTAAAAACACACCTAAATCATCGGACGCTGAGCCGCTGTATTGGTTTCACAGGACGCCGCCATTGAGGGGTCCTACATCTTTATTCCCATTCCACACACGGGAAAGCGATACATTGTTTCCGCTTTAGTAAAAAGCTACAACATTTTAGTGAGTTGTAGGCCGAGTATTTGAAATAAAGTTTAGCTTATTAATGGCACAGAAATATCTTACAACATTAACATATTTTAGAAGTTGTACGCAGGAGTTGCCTACGTTGTTCAGGCATTTTCATGGACAACTAATGTAATTGATGCAGTAGGAAACAACGGCAGCTCCTGCATGCATGTGGAGTTCATGTTGATGATATCAATAGGCCTACACAGCGGGTTTCCCCAGTTTGATTCATTTAATATAACATATTGATATATGTAGTGTAGTGGTATCGCGAGAATAAAGGGGTGGGAACGAGAGAGGATCGCGAGAGTTAAGAGAGCGATCGTGTAGTTGAGAGTGTGTTAATAAAGTTGAGATAACAACGATACAGACTGATTATTGAGACAAACAACACAACAATATAAAATACAAAAATTGTAGCTACAAAATACATCCCATTCATTTCTGTTAAAACAAATCACACATTTGGCTCTTATTTTAAAGATATAGCCTATTTGTTTTGTAAGCAGAGGCGGACTTAACCATTAGGCAAAGGTAGGCGACCGCCTTGGGCCCCCAAAAGCCAAGGGCCCCCTAAAATGCTTTTTATATGCGAGATGCGCGTTCAGTGCGGACGCACAAGTGGTTGCTTTGGTGTTCGTTACCACGACAGCCGTCTGTGCGTCCGCATTGAACGTGCTTCTTAGCAAAAGTAGGGCGATGTAGAAAATGGGGACGGAATCTATTCATAAAAACGGAGTTTACTGTGTAACGCGGAATGTGACGGAATGAACGGCGCAGACGCGTGTTTCGTTTGCTAGTTTGCTATTTAAGCACGCGCAACGCTCGCGGTTGTCGTCTGTAGTAGCTAAATAGTGTTTTTGCCATTTAATATTCACATACACTAGTCCTTATCGCGGTTTGATTGAAGTGCACTGAATTGCATTTGATTTATTCATTCAATATTTGACGAATTCCGTGACATTGCTCGTTACACAGTACATTTCTGTTGTGTAGCATTTTGAATGTACAAAAATTAAAGGGTTTGTATAATTTTCATTGGAATAAAAGATAGATTCATGTTTTCGCCTTCATTTGATTACCAGAAAAATGAAAATACACAACACAGAATTTCTAAAAAAGAAGTAAATAAAATAAAAAATTTCATAGGGCCCTATTATTGTATACAAGTTAATAAATTAAGTTGTTTTTATGAATTCAATTAATTAGATATGTTTTTGATTAAATTCGTTCAGCAGAGAGATGGTGCTGTCACAGGTGCGTGGTGGGGGCTTGTAGTCCGTAATGGTCTGTATCCCCTGCCACAGGCTCCGAGTGTCTCTGCTGTCGCTGAAATGATGGGCTATCCTGGAGTACTGACTTTTTGCCTTCCTGATGCCGCGGGAAAGGTGAAGCTATAATTTTAATGCATCTGAAGCTATAATTTTAATACTAAGCAACAGTGCATATTATATAGGGCCTATTTTATTTTGTTTAAATGGCGCTGACTCGTTTTTATGAAAGACCCAAGAAGGACCATGCACAGTCACTTTCCACACAGGCACACTTCATGTTTGGTTGAAATAATCCTTAAGCATGTACATTTATAATTTCCTTCAGTTTAATTTAAATGTACAATTAAAATAAATAAAAATAAATGTATATTTTAAAGTTTAGAATTAGACAGCCTTGCGTTGTGTTGACAATTGCACAGTGAAAATTACCCCAACGCACCACCTCCAGCCTACTCTAATACTATTATAACCTGTTTAAATGTGAACAAAGGATTTACAACATTAAAGAAATCCTTTATTTATAACATGTACATGAAAAATCTAAAAGATTAGACACAACTATGTGGCACGGTCGTGCAGCAGCGAGCAACAGTGAAAGGAACCTCAAGGTTGTAAATGTGTGAAATTGTATAGGGCCCCATTCCTGTATTTTGCCTGGGGCCCCAAATCACTAAATCCGCCCCTGTTTGTAAGTAGGAGCAATTAAGGGAAAAAAAATCTAAATAATTTTTTAGAGGGGATTTAATATGTTTATATGATTAATTTTATTTGTTTTATGCAATATACAATTTGGGGTTGCTGATAAAAGTGAAATATACATGTAGGTTACATATATGTATACATAATTGAATGAGTTTGTTTAATATTGTTAACATTTATATTGAAGAGATTGTGACTGATATTTTAGATTAACATAATGGATATAGCTGTATTTTTATGTTGCTGAAAGCCGTCGAAGCAAAACAAGGCCGCTGCACGAGCGTGACATATGGCTCGAAAGCAGCGGAGCTTTTATTATGCCACAGTCGACCGCTTCCGCTCCTTCCAGAAAGCAGTGGAAGTAAGCAGCGCTGTTTTATCATACTAGATACATTTGAACGTTCTGTTATAATGCTACTCTGTGCCGTCGTCGCCTGTCTAAGAAAATGCATAGCATATTAAACTGTCTTTGGTGTTTCCATGTTTTTATTATTAGCAAATAAACAAATGTACATACAAAATAGGAATTGAACAAACAATATGAACAATTCTCAAAGGCAGACATAGTTGTAATTACAATATGTAACAGTGACGTTTTACATTAAATGTACAATCATGAAGGGCAATGAAGAACAAAAAAGTAATATAAATAAATAAATAAATAATAATACAAATTAAATTAATTAATTAAAATAAAGTTAAAAATAATAATAAAAGCATTTATAGAAAAGTAAGTTCTTACAAGAGGTAGCAAGGAGTTATAGGGCACTTAGCTCACTGAAGAAACTGCCAACTGTAGTAGCTTTTTCATTTGAAAGGGCATCAAGAGAAGCAAACATTTTAACTTCATTAGAAAAGTGAGGAAAGGATGGATGGATGGTTTTCAGAAACCTGCATTTATGAATGAAGTATTTAGCAACTTCAAAAAGGTTGTTAACCAATGGTTTCTACAAATCAAAACCGGAAATCGAGGGGTTATGACGCCATTGGCAGGCGACGCAATGACACAATGGACACGGTCCGTGTCACTAGTTAAAATTGCTTATTTCTCTGGATTTTAACATTCTTCGAAACATTTGGGATAATGTAAGTACACAAGTCAGCAAAATATATAACACTGTTCTAGTGGTTTTTGGATATTTTAATAAAAAAATCTTACATATTGTGCCTTTAATAGAACCATGCAGCTCGTACTCTGGTCGCACTCAAAGGGGGCGCTGCATAGGAGAAGAGTGAATATGGACCGTGGGCCTACTGTATGGTAGAGACATAGCTGGCAAAAGCTGAAGTAGGCTAAATGGATAAACCCACATGTAATATACAAACCGCCTATTGCATCAATCATTTACAAAATTATTTGAAATATTACATTAGTCTGCAAAGATGTAGGACTAAAATCTAATTGGACAGTTACAGACTTACATGAACATGCAGAGAAGTTTATTGCCTGGCACTAATAAACACAAAGAATTCCGCAAATTAAATGCGACAATATGTAAATATGGGCTATATGCTATATGTAGGCTAGTTTATACTGAGGTCGAACATAAAATGAGCAGCATAAAATCGTTTGTGGGGAAAAATAAATAAATAAATAGCCTAAATAAATAAATCCTAAACGAATTTCCAGAATTTAAAATTAGCCAAATGTATCTCTTTGATTCTACAGGCTTCTCGACCAATTAGGATTGACTCCAAATCATGTTATTATTAGGATTATCCACGAAGTGATATGGCACAAAGATTGCACAGTGCAAAGAACTGTGAAGAAAATGATAGCAGAGAGTGTATTCTCTCAGAAGTGGCGACACTTTATTGCGCAATCTAGCAGAGGACTGGACTGGGACCAGGTGCAGATGGAATTGTTTGCGTGCTACGAAAGAGCTCGTGCTATACCGGTGCGACAGCGCTCGCGTCTCATTTGACATCATTCGCATCATCCCGCTGATGCGTGTCGCGGGATGGATGGAGAACACAGTCTCCGCAAAATAAAACCGACCAGCGAGCCACTTCAAACCCGTTCATCTGCACACATGCAGCAGACGTTAGTATTTTGAAGACTTACTCTTTATATTACCACGATGTTCGGTTCTTGAACAGCATTTGGTTATATGCATGTATTTTGTTTGGTATCTTGCACTTTTTTTTTTTTTACAACTTTATGAGAGAGCGAGTTTGATGCGAAGACTTGGATGTCACACTTTTTACCATATCAACATGTGGCATGGGTGTTTTGGGCTGGATCCCACACGAACGTCCTGGAAGAAGACTTGGAGAGGAGATCATGATTCACACTAACTGCATGAAGAATTTCCTTGTGTTGAATGATAAAATGAATGATAAACCCAATAAATGGATTTTCATCCCAATTTTAGCCGTTCTTTTTGTTATGATTGGGTACCAGTATATTTGTCCGGCAGGCGGCCAGGCTTGCCATTTCAGGACAGGAGACAAACTCGTTAGGATCGGTCCCCCAGCCACTCCTGACTCGATCACCGATGAGCAGGACCCGGAGGAAGACAGCCCACCTAAATGTGCATCTAAATTCAACTTAACAGAGCGCGATCTGACACGCGATGTCGATTTCAACATCAAGGGAGATGATGTGATTGTGTTTCTGCACATTCAGAAGACAGGCGGGACCACCTTTGGCAGGCACCTGGTCAGGAATATTCGCTTGGAGCAGCCGTGCGACTGCAAAGCGGGACAGAAGAAATGCACGTGCCACCGGCCGGGAAAGCAGGAGTCCTGGCTCTTCTCTAGGTTCTCCACGGGTTGGAGTTGCGGTTTGCACGCAGACTGGACTGAACTGACCAGCTGCGTGCCTGTGATTATGGACAAAAAGCAGTCTCCAAAGCGCAAGAGGTAACGCGCCTCCCTCTCTCTCATAAACTAATTTGGAGAATTCATTTGCCGCTCTGTTGCTTCTAATGAAGGTAATGATGAAGTGTAAAATGTAGTCTGAGGGTGTTTTCACACACGAGTCCACTCAGACCCCTTTAAGAAGAGCAAAATTGCTTTCACACTCTTAGAAAAGTGGGCTCAGATCTCATTAATAATAATAATGATAATCATCATCATCATCATCATCATCATTAGGCTACTATTTAAAAATATTGAATATAAAAAAAATCATACACAATTTTCACTCAGAAATTGTTAGCAAATTTCAAAATGAAACGGCATTGGTTCATTATATTAAACGTGACATTTTGACTGGAATAGACGAATAGTTTTTTCATATTTTTGTAAAAGGTACTCCAATAATCTTTTAATCGAATTTTTTTTTACAGTGTAGGCTACTATAGTAATATATTAAATTATAATTCTTCACTTTTACCGCCCTTGAGCAATGTAGTGAGGATAGAGTGCACTAACACCTCTTTAAGTATAGTCCTAAAAAGTGAAACCAGTTCTGTTTACACTCAGTGTCCCTGTACTTAAAAAGTAGAATCAGGCATTACTTTTTTTGTCCATGTTGTAAAGAGGTCTTATTTTACTTCTAAGATTATAAGTATTATTAGTGACTATTAGTGTGAAATAATAAAGTTTTGTGTTCATTATGCACTCAGACCTCCTTCAGAGATCTCAGTCCAGTTCGATTTAATGGGGTCTGAGTTCATTTGGAGCATTCACATACAAGCTAAGCCAAAATTTGTGCTAACCACTTTTGCACCCCTGAAACGAAATACTTAAAGTTGAACTTAAAGGTAATATATTTCCTCTGCCACATTGTACTGATATGTTGCTAATTCTGGACCAGTTGAATGAGAAATGATTTTAACCACAGAAGCCAATCAATCACTCCATCCTGTGATGTGGAATGCAGTGTCTCCAAAAGAGATCTGTGCATTATGAATTCTTTGGTGCCTTTACTAAATCCAAGTTCCTTTTAGTTTTCTAGATTCTGAGTCATCTATTATGCCATTACTCCTATCTGTAATGCTTTTTTCACTGTTTAGAAGGTATTTTAGTCCATCATTAGTCTTCTCTACCTGTAAAGATTGATCTACTTCACATACAATTTTAAATAGTTATATTTACCCTGTCAGAAAAGACAGTATAATTGGGGGTTTTCATTGCTTATGGCCTCTCTGTGTCATTCAGTGATATTATTAATGTGACAGTGATATTATTAACTTATCACCCTACATGGTTTATGGCAAACACATGAAAATGCACAACAAAGAAATAACCTGTCAAAATGACTAAATGTCATGCCTAAATGCTATTTTCTACAGTATCTGTGACCACAGCTCTCTTTCTCAGAATCTATATTCCCGTTTAAATGACTGAGAGGCTGCGTTGTAATGAACTTTAAATGAGGTATCATAAAGCCTAGCCGAGCCATCAAGCATTCCCATCTATAAATCTGACAGTGCCAGTATAGACAAGCAAGCCATTAAAAAGTTATTTTAGTTGTTTACTAAGTACAATGATGGCTTAATATGGTGAAAATATGCAGACTTTCACTTTTATAAGTGCCTGCGAATAAAAGACATGTGTTTTTAGTGCCTGCGAACAGTGAATGCTGTTCTCATAAATATCATATAAAATAGCTTTGTCGCCATCCTCGGCTACTTGCTGATCTAATGTTAGTCCATGAATTATTTTTGACACAACTGGATCTGTTGTGTTCTGTTATCATGAAAAACTCAGTTTTGGTGATCACTCATTTTAACAGTTGCAAGCAAATGGATCAAGTTTATTAATTGCTCGGCCTGCATATTTTTTTACATCGTTCAATGTATTGTAATGAAAGAAGATATTAATACTGAATAATACTGAATGTGAGGAAGTGCTTGCTACCTTTAAGGACGTTTCAGAGAGGACACATTTATTTAAGAGACATTCACACTCGTACCCCAAAACTGCAAGACCAGAGTTATATGATTCATCTCTGCAGAATCAGCTGGCTCATTCTGGAAGTTCGCAGTCTTTATGCGACAGAGAACCGAAGACCAAATGAAACATAAATCCATCTCTCGCTCTCTCTGTGCTTTCAAAATGCTGCCTCGCATTGCTTCTCTAAAGATACACCAGAAGACACAAATAAATCTCTTCTGACAACAGGCGCTTTTGCTCTCTGAACTGCATGTGGTGACTGTATGAAAATTTTATCCTGATACTCAGCTCTGTTTATTTCTGTTAAGATGGATCACTCTGTGCATGGAGGAGGCTTTACACGGACATACGATTCTTATTTTTTCTTGTGTTTAAAGGCCACTTGAAATCTCACAGTATTCCATAATCTAATAATACAGATTAGTGCAGTAGCGCAAAAGGACTGTGAGATGTTTTTTTTTTATTGTGAGCAATGAGCATGCAGAAGTAGTTCTCGCCGATGGTGGGCTGGTAATGTGGCAGCGAGGTTTCTCAGGAATGGTTTAGCCTTTTTAGCCTGGCACAGAACAGTGCGGGCACATCACAGGACCTGGAAAGGTCAGCCATGTCACAGCAGATCAACAGACACTGTTAGAGTCGATGGGAAGGGAGAGTTGAAGTGATCTCTTCAGGGAGAGAGGCTTCTCTTCTTGTGTCTCTCATTCTGAGTTGTTTCGGTCAGGCATTTCTCTTGCAGGTCAAACCTGTCAAAACAAATCAACAGTTAGAGAATATTGCTAAGCAAGTTTAAAACAAAATTGACCACTTTTTTAAATGCACATTACTGGGCTTATTGTACACGATGCATTGGTGCAAGTTATTCTAAATAATATGTAATGTCTACTTTTCAAGAGTCAATCAAATCCCATGAATAAAATCAAGTCAAGTCAAGTCACATTTATTGTCAAGTCAAAATTGTTTCAAAGGAGCTTCACCATAATAAAACAGGAAAATAACAGAATCTGTTATGGAAACTCAATTAGAGAGACAATTCAAAACGTGAAGGCAGAGCTGTTGTTTTTAGTTTAGTTTAACCAGTTTAGCTTATCAGTAGCCATAAGCACAACAACTGTGCTCCTTGTTAACGTCTGCATTATGGTCCTCGCTGGTCGTGGCATGACGTGTTCATAGCTGGTCACAGGGATCTGTACCAACTTTTTCCACATTAAATGTTCTATTTCACTCAGAAATACGACCTATTGCGCAAGTAAAATGGGTTGTGAAAGGTATTTCAGTTGTTTTTAATTAAAGATGCTAATCTTATGAAAACTGACCAACCATATAACAGCACAATTAAGATGAATTTCAGACCCGACAGGGTTTTATTTGGATGCAGTCCTCACGTATTGTATACCCATAGGCATCACATCAATTTAAATTATGTTGTTCAGATGATAAAACCCCTTGATTTGGAAAAAACCCTGACTCGTTCTTTTCACCTTCCTTTCTCGTTCTTTCATAGCTCTGCCTCTCTTCAGGACCTCTCTCTGCCTCTTTTTATTTTAGCACTAATTAAATTTGCCAAGTCCCCTGGCATTATAACCAAATGGAGTTTTTGGGCAGTCACGAATGTGCAATCTGCTGAAATGAGATGCAATTAACTAAGTCAACTGCACACAAGTTCTGAGATTAAAGGCACCGCAAACGATCCGCACATATTTACAGAAACAGTCTCTTAGATTGCAGTTAAAAACAAAAAACACCAAGACAGCCAGTCCATAATTAGGAACACAAAAGCATTGAAACGGTGTTCTGTTTTTCTGCCCACCATTAATTTCATGGTGTTGTTGCTTACTGGAAAGGTCAAAAGGCATTTTACAAAGTTTCAGTGCACATTATGGAGAGAGAGATTGTGCATTTTGGCATTTTGCGATTCCATACGTATGATCCGTAGATATGACCCTCACTGTATTGTTATTTTTTGTTAGTTTTATTGGTCGCGAGGCAAAACCATAATTCCAATTGATTTGAAAAGTAATAGCATATCATTCGTGTCTGTAGCAGAATTTTGCACAATCTAGAATTAGCTTCCTTTCAATTCATGAATGCGAGTTTGAATTGAATTGGCCTTCCATTTTGGGAAATGAAGTCTTCATTGAATTAATTAAATATGATGAAACTTTTTTTTATTTTTGCTAAATTGGTCTACTGCATATGGTGAAACAAAGTCACATTATCTATTAACACATCAACTCATCAATATTAAAACTGCCTGAATGTGTGTTAAGTTTTCATGGCTTCTGTGGTTAGGGTTTTCACACTAATGTAATGAGACCTAGAAAAATCTCCCATTGTTCTTACGGAAGGCCAAGCATTCAGTGCTTCGAACAGCCAAGGTCCTCCGTTCCCCCTCAACAATTAGAGTTCAAATAGATTCACAAGCTCCTCATTTCCCAGACAATCACAGTAATGAGTAGCCTGCAGCTGCACTAATGGGCCATTATTACTCACACGGAGAAAGTGATGACATCCTCTTGGCACAATAACACTCCTTGCATGATATTTTATTTATTATAGTCAATACAGAGTCACACAATTACTGTCAGTGTCTGCATGGGCACAGATCAATACTGAGATGCCATCACCCATCTTTCGCAAAGAGGTAAAGCGCTTTTTCTTGTCACCTTTTAAATTCTTCTTCCTGTTCATCCTTGTATGTTCCACAAATCACTGTGCTTGTTAGATGCTGCTGTTGTCATGTTCAGATACTTTCAGCTAGATCTGTCAGCCCTAGCAGGTTCTTTGTGAGCATACATGAGGCTGCGGGAACTAAATTTGTTGGACTTATAGCCTGGAGGGAGGGACCTGCTCGAGCCCTGTGCATCCTCATTGGTATGGGATGATTATTAGGTGCGGGGCTGAGCATACCCTTGTGGGTTAGACGCGGCGGGGTCTGGATATTGCTTTCACGTGTCATTAATCCAGGTCACCATATGCTCTGGAGCAAAAGATGTAATCTAGTTGCTGTGATAATTATGTGC